AAACTTTTAGAAATTAAGGTAATCAATAAGAATTTCATCTCATATTTGTTCTGATGAGTCAGCGGGAAAGTAAAGCACTTGCAAGGACTTTGTGCAGCTTTTTTCCTGTGCCGTCTTACTGAGTTACTTGGTTACATTCCAAAGAGGGCTGGCGTAAGGGTTCAAAATGAATGTGTAATGAGAACTTCTCCCTCGCCCTCTCTTTCCCTCTGTCTGTCTGTCTGTCTCTCTCTTCACACACACACACACACACACACCCCCTAGTATCTTAGGTTTCTTTGCTGCTGTGGACACTTATAAAGAAGCAATAAAGCGTCTTCTCTCCCCATGTTCACCCCATTCCCTAAAAGTCAGGAATCCTCACTATATTTTTCAAGATCTGAGTCTCCACAGGGAAGGAACATTCTAGAGAAAAATGAGCAGCATGTTTTAGGTGGAATTATTTCAGAGGAGGCGACGGAAGTGAGTTTTCAGTGGGAGCGGAAGGCGTCGCTGGGAATGGGACTGAAGATGGCCGTTTGCTGCCAGACCGAGGGCTGGGGCGGCAGGAATCCCTGGGTTTGGGTAAACTCAGCGAGAACCGGCCCCGAGGGCGGTCGGCGTCCCTGCTCGCCTGCTCCCACCCCCTTTGCCTCTGGTGATCGCCATTCTGTTGTCTGTGTCTACGAATTGTGTTTTTTTGTTTAATCCCTTCACCTTTTCCACCCAGCCCCCAATCCCACTCCCCTCTGACAGCAGTCATTCTGTTTTCTGTATCTTGGAGTTTCTTTCTATCTTGTTAGTTTATTTAGTTCATTAGATTCCATATATAAGTGAGATCCTATGGTACTTGTCCTCCTCTGACTGGCTTATTGCACTTAGCGTAATGCTCTCCGGGTCCCTCCATGCTGTAACGAAGGGCAAGGTTTCCTTCTTTTTACAGCCTCGGAATATTCCACGGTGTAAATGCACCACGGCTTTTTTATCCACTCATCTAGGTGGACACAGGCTGCTTCCAAATAATGCTGCAATGAACACAGGGGTGCATATATTCTTTTGAATTAGTACAACAAGCATTTTTTAAAACATCCAAGCACAATAGAGTAAGATGGGAATACATGATTACATCACATATAGGAAGTGTCTGTATTGCTTTATATGTGTTATAGACCTATAAACACCCAATTATCTGTGTAACGGATCACACTGAAACTGTATTTCCGACTGAAGTTCAAATCCAATGAGTTGGAGACCTCCGGCACAGTCTGTGGAAACTTCGTAGTCTCTAAACTTGAAGGTCATTTTTATACACGGCTGCAATGTTATGACTGGAAGTAAGGAAGACAGATCTTCCAATGAAAAAAAAGGTAAACTCTCGCAAACTGAGGGTTTTTGAAGGGGATGAAACTCCTGGGTGGTGGAGGAGACATTTGGAAAGAACTCACTGCCAAAGGAATGGAAATTACCTGAGGTCATGGAACACCAGCCGCGAAGAGGTGGGTTGACCGTCTCAGAGTCTGGGCTGTTTGAGCCTCAGAAGTATAAGCACGCAGTGTGATATACAGATGATGCATCAGAGAGTTGTACCCTTGGTACTGGTACAACTTTATTAGCCAGTGTCACCCCAGCAAATTTCATTGAAAAAGAAGGTGTTCGGTGCTGTGGCTGAATGTCTGAGTCGTTCCAAACCGTCTCGTGGTCCAGTCAGCTTTTCAAATACCACGCAGAGGGTGGGTTAGGACATTTGTTTCCATGTTGATTCCAAGGCCCAGTGCCTTGGAGACCTGTCCTTGGCTAGAGGAGGCGCCGACCCAGGGAGTGTGGCTCGGGCCCAGCAGGAGCAGGCCCGGGCGGGGCTCCCGAGGAAACTCCTCTGTGGGCTCCACCTAGTGGAAACAGCCCCTCCCTCCAACCCGCTGGAACTTTAAAAGCTCACTGAAGCAGGGGAGGAGGGGGAGTGGGGGTTCACGCCAGGAGGAGGGGCATTAGGCGAGAGAGATGCTTGGAGTGACCCAACTCCGTACTCCACCAGCTCGGACAGACGGCGACTGAACGCAGCATCTCAGTCCTTGGCTGCGGCTTTCTTTCCGTGAAGCCACATGGGGTACGCTTCCACAAGCCCCCTGAGACCCCAGTGCTTTGGCATCTAGACAGCCCCCTCCTTCACCATTTTAGGGTGGTGTGGGCTACAAAACTGACGTGAACGCTCTGAAGAATATCCTGAACCTCAGTCCAGACTGTGGAACAGGGAACAGGAACGGTTCAGAGATGGTGGTCGGAGGTTTCAAGGAAACATAAAAGGGCGTTTCCTTTGCTTTGCTGGTAGGGACGTTGGGCATTTTACGCAGATGGCTCTTTGCAGCTGTGGATGCTAAAATCTCACGAGCAGTAGAAAAAGCCTCCAGGGCTGAGCTTGAGAAGAGCGGAGAGGAATTTAAGAGCCAACTCTAACTCAGTTTGAAACCTTGGAGCCCACAAGGTAGTTTTCAAAACTCCAAACTAATATCAATGTGGCCAAAAGAGCAATAGCAAAGATGGTGACAGTCCTGCAGAATGGGCGGGACAAACGCTAAATGCAGATTATAAAGGTCTATTCTAATAAAAAATAAGTGAAGTAAACTCAGCACCTACCTCAGCATAACCAGCAGAGCTGACTGGCAGATCGTGGGGGCGGGCGCCCTCTCCTTTGCTCACTGGCCTCTTCCTGCGTATCCTGACGCGCTCTTCAGTTAAGGGGAGACGCCTCCCAATCCAACGTGCCGGCTTTTCCAGTAGCATTCAGGTCACCCTAGTCTCCTGCTAGCACCAAGTTTACCAACAGTGCTGATTCAGATGTAAACGGTAGGTAGGCCTCAGTTAACCTGTGCAGTGGACTAAATCTCTCACAGCCAGGTAACTGAAACTCGTGTTAAGTTCTTTATATGTATAAGAGGCCGCTGCTGGCGAAACACGGTGCACTGTTTCACAGCACACTTTACACGTAAAAAGAGCACGCTCTAAAAGAACAATAAAAAGCACAGTATAGTAAATACACAGGCCAGTAACACGGTAGTTTGCATCACCGAGCGCTATGCGCTGGCCTTTCATACGCTGGGCCGGGCCGCGGGCTCGTTTACTTCAGCATCGCCACAAACTCGAGTAATGCGTTGCGTGTGACTGTCACCAGGGGACAGGAATTTTTCAGCTCCATTGTGAACCTGCGGGCCACCATCAGCATTTGACATGGGCCAAAATGTCATGAGGCAGCTCGGGACTGCACTTCACGTTTTCTTAGCACTGTGGAGTTACCCACTTAACGATCATTTCTGGCACACTTACTTTATAGGTCAGGGTGGAATTGAACCGACATACCCTTAAACCGAATTAAGCAGAAAGATCCAGAGCAGGGCTCGTCCCGTTGCTTGGGTCCCAGGCGTGATGTGGAGCCAGGGTTTAGCCAGAAGCCGGCGGCGCTGTGATAAGCCCGCCTGGGCCGTGCGCCAGGTTAGACGGGAGGCGGGGGGAGCGATGAAGGCGCAGGGAGGGAGGCAAGGGGACGCTGTGTCTGGTCCGCGACATCGTTTCCCGTGGCAGGGTTTCATTTCTTATTTACTGTTGTACATTCAGTTCTTGGTAGAGTACCTGGCCTAAAACAGGCGTCCATAAGTGCGCTGGTGAGCGAACAGGCCATCACGCTCCTGGCTGTCCACTGCGCTTGGGACCTGCTCTGCCCTCTCCTAGGGACACGGCGTCGGCTACCCCGAGGCAGTGATGAGCCAAACCGTTGTTAAATATTGTCACTCCGCTTTTACAACTCTGATTAGAGCACGTCGAGGTACTGCGCGGCTCGTCGGTTGGTTGGTTTTCCTGACTGCGCAAAAAACCCTCTGAGAACAAAGGGAATGGTTTCTCCTGTTCTGGAATCTGGGCACAGCAAGTAAACCTTGGTGCAGCTGAGTCATATTTGGGTACCAAGGAGCTGAGATGGAAGTTTAGGAACCAGGTGAAGGGCTAACGTACTGAAATCAATCCCAGGCTTGGTAAAGCTGTATTTTTGCAGGATCGGATAGAATCAGTTCTGAGAGTTAAATTAACTACTTTGTTAAGTCTATTTATTTTACTTTTGTGAGTTACTTCTTCTATAAGATCCAGCAGTATGCGAGTGAATAGTTAAATGCAGTTGTGAAAATTACAGGGCACTTAAATAAAACTACTTCATAGGTGATATATTTATGTTTGATCAAATTATTTAGATGACTGCAGTATGTGACTTAAAGATATAAGTATTCACTCTTTTTATCAGCATCCATGGTCTTTGACAAGGATGAGTCGTAGACGGTAAGACGTGGGCTCCTTTCTCTGTACTTCCTGTAACTTTCATCCAGCCTCAAGTCAATGAGTATTCAAGTAATGCCATGTATAATTTTGAACTAATTACACATGGGGAGATTACGTTTTGAATGAATTTCTTCATTTGACATTTCTGTGCCTCCATAATTTTTTCCTAATAACATTTTAATCTTCTCCTCTTTGGAATATTTTTATAGTCATGAGATAAGATATATTTATTGCCAGAAAATGGCTCTGTTGCATGGTACCAGGTATAATTTTAAATGCTTATTTTTACTTGAACTATGTACTGCTTTGATTAAAAATATTTTCCTAATATTACGAATATTTTATTCTTGGAAAAAAATGGAATAGGCTGTTTGTAAATGGAAATCAGAATCTTTGGGTGGGAGCCTTTGGCAAGTCAGTTATTTTACACAAACAACTGGGTCTGTGGGAGGGACCACACGAAGCCTGCAGCCCCTTTTGAACCCTCAGTGGCATCCTCCGGGGACAGTCGCGGACTGAAGAGTGTTTAAATGACAGCAGTAGGGTGCACAGTAGCGCCGCTCCTCAAAGGAAACGTCACCTTATCTGACCTGGTCTGGGAGTAAACCAGGCGCCTGCTCCAGCCAGTTGACGGTAATGCCTTCAGCCATTTCCATTTTTTAGCATTCAGAGCCACTTGAGGACATCTCTTGTTTGCTTATTAGATCTTCACAGGATAGACTTTGTTGGAAAATGAAGATGAACTTGGTCTTTGGCTGGACCGTCGCCTCTGACAATAGGAGACTGAGGATTCCTACAGCTCTGTGATGGGCTGGTGCTCTCGGCGTCCATCAGCGACCCCGGGACCAGATCTCCCCGTGCGTTCTCACCTGCTGCGATCATTGGGTGGAGGCAAAGGTACTGCCTTTGAGCTTTGCAATAAGTATTGAAAGGATCACCCCTTTCACTTAATCTTCTGCAATTAAAATTGTGCTTTTTAAAAATCTTGTAGCTTAATGTCAACATTCCAATTTAAAAAAAAAATTAATATGTTTTTTATTGATTTTTAGAGAGAGAGAGAGGAAGGGAGGGAGGGAGAGAGAAACATCAGTGACAGAGCACCACCAGTCGGCTGCCTCCTGCACGCCCCCTCCTGGGGACCAAGCCTTCAACCCGGGCCTGTGCCCGGGCCCGGAATCCAACCGGCAGCCTCCCGGTGCCTGGGACAACTGGGCACACTGGCCGGGCAACATTAACAATTTTAAATAAAATTTAAAAAATAAAGAAGTACAGAGTCCCGATTGTGAAGAGAGCCACGACCCAGCCTCAGACGCAGGCAGCAGTCGCGGCGCGCGGTGGGACACGGTCCCCTCGGGCGCCTTCCCCACGCCGAGGGCCGGGGGACGCCGCTGGCCCCGCGTCCACAGTGAGCTCCGCGGCCATGCTGGCCCCCCCCTCGCGGAGGACCGGTGGCCGAGCAGATGCTGGTAACTGCCAGAGCCAACACTCATATTTTTCTTTCCGTTCAGCCAGAAGAACGCGAATGCCGTTATTCACACAAGCTTCTGCTGCAGCCTGTCGGTCGGCCCCAGGAACACGCTCGCTCCTGTCCCGCCAGGAGTGGCAGCCAGGGGGCAGCTGCAGGGTTGTCACCGCGTTTACGGAGGCCGATTATTTACTTAACGCTGCGGCGTAACGGAGAGATTTTGAATTCATAAATTGGAATCTATTATTGTCGCAGTGATTGGCGAGGATGAGTCCACAGGAGCACAGCTCTTTCATGGTCTTCCACTCACAGGTCTCTGCCCACGAGCAAACCGATGTTCTTGAAAAGTCACAGTGGCACATAAGTTGGCGAGCAGTAGCATTCAGTTCCCATATCCTACCTTTGTTTTCACTGTTATCTCAAAACACGTTATTGTATCATATTGAAAGCAGCTTTTTTTTTTACCTTTTTACTGAATTTCCTGGGGTAACACTGGTTAATAAAACTATACAGGTTTCAGGTGCACAACTTTACAACACATCGTCTGTACACTGTATTGTGTGTGCACCACCCCAGGTCAGGTCTCCTCCCACCACCATTTATCCCCCCGTCCCCCCTCCGCTTCCCCCTGAAAGCAACTTTCTAGCCAATAAATACATTAATTAATTTTTCTTAAAAAAGAACGGAAAGGAAAAGAAAACCCCTGACAGACTGTTAAGTCATAAAGTTCCTACAATGTCTTCTCTACATTTACAGAAATAAGTCACAGGGAAGGAATTTTTTTATAACATAAAACACAATGCTTTAGAAACACCTGCTTTCTAATCTTGATAGACTAACGTACTGTATCTTTTATTTCTTTTTATTCACTAAAAAGTTAATTTATACACGTTGCAAATATTTTCTCTTCTGTTGTGTTTTTGCTTTCTAAATAATCTCTTACGTGGAGCAGAAGGTGTTAATTTTAACATCATTCAATTTATCCACCTAAAGTTTTAAGGCTAATAGTGCTTTTAACCTCATTTAAAAAATCCTTCCTTACCCTGAGATAATGAAGACATTCTCTCTTTATAATTTCGCCTTTTACTTGAAGTCATTAACCTCCCTGGAATTGATTTTTATATGTGGTATAAAGACATGATTCAAGAATTTTCTGTTTCATTGGCGGCTATTTGGGGAGGTTAGCCTGAGAGAATACTGGGACCTTTCACTGTCCTTGAACCACAGACCTCGGGACCATTCCCTCTGGGGTTTAGGCTGCAGTGGGCGACTCTGCCCGGGCGGCACCGCTCTACACGCAGGACCCGGGCAGCCCGAGACCGGACAGTAGGCGTCCAGGAACGCCCAGCAGGCACACCCTTCCTCACAGTTGTGAACCCCTGATTTCACAGAGCTGATACTAATGGTGCTATCACAGGCTTTTACCACATTTTATTTAGGTGGTATTTTTTGGTACCCATGTTTATTAATGAGATGAGCTTATATTATTTCTCTCCTGTACTTTTCTTGTCATTTACTGGTATTAAGATTTTTCTATAATGATACCGATGATGATAAACAAAAGTGTTTCCTGTGTGCCAGGCTCTCCTAAAGCATTTCACGTGCACTAATTCACTTAACCCCCATAGCGACGTCAGGAGGTGGGCAGTGTTATCATTCTCATGTTATAGGTGAGAACAGCGATGTGCCGATCAGCTAAGGAACTTGCCCAGACATGGATTAAAGAAACAAAACAGCCTGGAATTGCTCGTGAATTCCGCAGTTATGCATCCCTTTTACATTCGGCTCTTAAGGCTCCTGTCTTTGTGAGCAGATTTACTGCAGACTCAGTGTTTATTCTGGGCAAAGGACTGTTCAGAGTTTTTATTTCTTCTGGGACAATTCTGTCTAGAAGTTTTTCAATGATGTCTTTCACTCACATCATCTTAGTCTTTTCAATTTCTATACCATCTGTGCCTCCTCTCATTTTTAATGTATTCATTCATACAAAAAATGTATTCATTTTTTTTTTTTGATGTTTTGATATGCAGCCTGTTAGTTATTAATTCTTCTATGGACATGAGTTTTTAAAATATGCTTATGAGGTTTTGATTTTTAAAATATGCTTATGAGGTTTTGATTTTTTGCTTAGATTACCGGTTTAAAACTTCACTATATTATAGATTGTGAGTTTTTAAAAATATGTTGAAACTTTCTTCTTTCCCAGATTGTCATCAAGTTTTGTAACTACTTGAGCGTTAAAAAACATTGTTTTCTCCTACTGTTGGGTGCCCTACATACCCACACTATCAAACTTGTTTACTGTGGTTTTTGGATCTTTTCTATTTTTTTTCCTATTGAATACAGAAGTTATGAGAAGAGCCATCCAAGCAGTGCACTAGCATAGCTCCCATAGTTCTTGCCCAGGAATTTTCTCCTGCGTCTCAGGAAATTGCTCCCAGTTCAAAAAGCTATGCTTCCTCCAACTTTACATTCTGTCCTTGGTCCATGACATACATTGGCTTACGGTTCCCCTTCCTCCTCTATCAGGCCTGGTACTTCCCCAGCTGGGTGACTTGACCCAAATTATTGATCTGATGAGCCAAAGGAGAGGTGGGGCCATGTTGTTTTGCAGGACAAAGTTTTCTGTATCATCTTTAACATGGAAGACTCAGGCCTTATTGGGAGGAGTCAGCACTTCTCCAGGATATTTCGGAGGAATTGGAGGGTCAGAGCATTCAGCTGTATCAGTCCAGCGAGTTCTGTCCACATCTCAGAGCCCTCCATCCCTCTAATTATGGACCTGACCTTGGCATAACACACTGGCCGGATCTGACAATGCAAACTTCCCTTGAACTCTGCTACCCTTATAATTAACGTCTAGGCCTCCTCCATGGCATTTTTTTTTTTTTTTTTT